AGCTACGTTCATGATGTTCTCGTGGCCGTTTTGCTAGCTTCACATGCATCCAGCTCGGTATTACGTAGCGTGGACGGACGGCGTAAGTGAATGACACAAACAAACATGATAATGCCGACATGCGGGTCATGTAACAACATGACTACATGCCACGCTCATGATGCGCTCGAGGCCGTTTCACTAGCTCTACATATGCCAAATTTGGTATTACGTGACGTCAATGAATGACGAAGGTACGTGACTGGTGCAAACATGATAATCATGAGTTGCACGTCATGTGTGAACATGACTACATGCCGCAGTCAAGGCGCTAATACATTTCGACGTGACGCGAATCGCGTGCTCACCGGCGTTCATTGGTGGTCACGCCAATGTCACGCCGGCACTGCCACGCCCCGCACCAATCCTTACATGTACTTGCAGGCGCGCACCGTGCTGCGTTTCTTTGACGCATGCGCGTTTCAGCGCGTCAGGCGTTCTTTCGTCATGAAAAGAGGGAGACGCACTGTTGTCTGGATAACGCATTGTTGCGAAATGCAGCATGTCGTATTTCACGTCGGTTGCCCGTCGGGCAGCGTCGATAGACGCTGGTGGTGCCGGTTGAGCCTGTCGTCAGACTATAGAGTGCTCGCGTTTTCCTAACGAAGCATCGCTGTGCCCAGCGTGTGCGCACGTCAACGTTACATTGGAGTAAAATGGACCCTTCATGATGCGCTCGCGGCCGTTTTGCTAGCTCCACTTATACCAAATTTGTTGTTACGCCACGTCATTGGATGACGAAATATAGAACGGGTGCAAACATGATAATTCTGAGGCGCATGTCATGTAAGACTAGGACAACATACCACGCTCATAGCGTGCATGCGGCCGTTTCACTAGCTCCACATGCACTACATTCGATATCATGGGACGTGAATAGATGACGAAGGTAAACGACACAGCCAAACATGATAATCATGACAGGAAGTCATGTACGGCATCGTTACCTCCACCTCGTAATATTGTGATGGTTTTAAAGTGACTTATTAACCTTTCTCAATCGTGCTTCGCATATCTTCGATTCCCACTTTACGTGAGGTCTTCCAATTTTTTTTACATTGATGGCTCTCCGCGGGTGTGGTTCGAGACGCACGAAGCCGACATTACCAGCTGGGACAATTTCAAGAAGACTCGTTACCCTTTTGGGAACACCGCTGCACAACATATAACTGCGCGAAATCAGTTGCCTACTCGGGCACAGACGTCTACCGAATCCTACGTTGCGTATATTGACGACGTCATCACCCTTTGCCGTCAGGTTGACGAACACATGCCCGAGCTTGAGAATGTATCGAATGTGCTCAAAGGCATCACCGACAATGCCTTCAACCTGCTTGTATACACTAACGTCAGCACCAATGATGTAATCATCAGAGTGCCGGCGATTTGAACACACCAAGAGCCGCCGTATCACGCAGAGATTCACACGATTGCTCAACACAGTCCAACCTTCATCATGTGAAGCCGCTCGCCAACCACCCACCTAAACCACGTCACCGAATTGTTCGTCGGGAGCTTGAAGCTGCCTGTCCAGCTCCCATTCAACAGCCTGTTGTTACAACACAAGCCAAGACTGACCCATCAGACCCATCGGTAACCTTAATTCTAGCTGTGGTAAGGCAGGAGTTCGCTACTTTCGGTCTTCCGTCAGCGTGTCCCGTGACGCACCCTGAAGTACGCCCATACTCCTCATGTAACGCTCGCCGATCTCCTCCACCATTGCCCTTCCGGAACCCTACGCAATGGCAAACGCCTGACGACCAGCCTATCTGCTTTTCCTGTTATCAACCTGGACATATTTTTCGTTATTGCCGTCGCCGCTGGTCCAACCCACCACGTCAGAGCTACCCTACTTGTATGCGCCCTACCCCTTCTTCAGGTACAGCCGCTACACCGTCCAACATTTACTCGCCGCCTCCTCACGAGCCTCTCCCCACCGACGCACCTTTTTCCGGTCGCCGCTACTCCCGCTCCCTGTCGCCACTACACCGCCAATCCCGCTCTCTGCCCCCTCGGTGCTTTTCCTCGCCTAGCTTCTCTGGACGACCGCAGCAGGAAAACTAGATAGTGCAGCTTATAGAGGTGAAGCTGCAGTACCAACGACGCCCGGAAACCTTCTACTGATGCTGCCCACACACCACAGTCTCATTGAAATAAAAGTCGACAATGTTCCTGTTACTGCCCTTGTTGACACTGGCGCCCACCTGTCTATTATGAGCGCACACCTACGCCGCCGTTCGCAGAAGATCATGATGCCCTCTACGACTGAAGCCATACGTGTTGCCGACGGCAGCGCTGTAGAAGTTGTCGGAATGTACACTGCTTGCGTCAACACTGCTGGTCGTCGCGCCATAGTCTTTTTTGTCGTTCCAGATCGTTGCCCTCATGACCTCATACTAAGCCTTGATTTCCTCTCGGCACACTCGGCTTTATTTGGCTGTTCTTCTGGCACGTTGAGCCTCGACCTTCCTCTGCTCTCTGATGCGTGTGAAAAGCCCGTCAGCCGCTTGGGTCCAACCACTTTCGTTCGCTTGCCGCCTCGAGCTATGACAAACGTCTGTCTGTCATCGACCCCTCCAGTTCCCGGCAGAGACTACATCGTTACACTGACAACAGACGCATGACTAACGCGCAGTGTTACAGTGCCGCATACCATCACCACCACAGTGGACAACTGTGGGTTTGTTCCACTCCTAAGTTTCGGCCTCATTCCTCAAGTGTTGCCCTACCAGATGTCGCTTGCTCAACTCACTGCCATAAGAAATGATGACATAAACGTTGTCGCTGTAACTGTTCCGGACCAAGCCGAAGTGTCACGGTTACCCGGTTTTGCCGAAGCCATCTTTCGAAGTATATTGGACCAGACGTTTCGCCTGATCAGGCCGACGCTCTCTGCCGCGTTTTGGCCTCCTACAGTGACATTTTTGATATCTGTGATCGTCCCTTGGGCCAGACTAATATTGTCAAGCACCGAACTAACACTGGTGTCTTTGAACCCATCCACCGTCGGCCTTTCAGCGTGTCCGCATCAGAACAAGCGGTGATTCAGAAAGAAGTAAACAACATGCTATCGAAAGACATCATCGAACCATCGTCAAGCCCTTGGGCCTCCACAGTGGTATTGGTAAAGAAGAAAGACGGCTCCTGGCGTTTCTGAATTGATTATCGGCACCTCAACAAAATAACCAAGAAAGACGTGTATCCTCTTCCACATATTGACGGCGCACTTGACTGTCTTCATGGCGCCGAATTTCAAATCGTCCGGCCCACAGAATTTTCTTATATTCAAACTTAATAATATTTCAAATACGCAAGCTTCTGTGATTTTCATATTTTCGATGGGAGGTAAGTCTTTGACTTCTTAAAAGTGGGGACAATTTTGTCATCAAAGGTAAAAACAGATGCGAAGTGTTCATTAGGTGCATTGAATATTTCTGTTTCATCTGTTGTACAAACGTTATTTTTAACAAAAGAGATTGTATTGGATGACTTCGGCTTTAAAAACTGCCAAAATTCAGACTACGATTCCTTCATATTTTAGTTAACTTCAATTCGTAAAAATTGCGTTGTTTGAACTTTTCATTTTTCTCTTAGTTACTGAGACAGATCGGTGATTAGAAAGCGTGTTTTGATGCTCTTGTGCTTTTTTAGTGATTCTTGAACCTTATTACTTTTCTCCTAATGGGGATTATATATCGTGTCATCTAGGGTTTCGAACTACGTACCCCTTTTTCTTCAAAGGAAAAAAAAAGCTGTATGGATGCATCCGGTGTGTTCCCATACTAAAGCATTACCATCGCTCAAACCCAGATTAAGACTTTCTCGAAGTTCTTCGTAGGATATCTCCAATATGTTTATGGTGACTGCATCGTCGGCAGAATGAAAGACTGGCCCACGCGTGTATTGAACATCATTTTTGTAGTTGAGCAAGTGAAGCTCAACTAAGACTGCAGTGTGATCTGAAATGCCTGTAACAACTTCACAGTCAATATCTCCAGAAATATTACCGTTGATCAACACAAGATCAAGAGTAGATTCACTGCTGTCTTGAACACGAGTGTAGTCACTTACTCGCTGTGTTAAATCAAAATTGAATGCAATATCAGTGAGCGCTTCGTCGTCAATGGGAGCAGAACTTCCTGCATTAAACGAAGACCAGTAGATGATTGGAAGAATAATGTCTCCACTGAAAATGAGTTAGGTAGATTGATTTCTTTTAAACGAAATTTACAGCTGTAATTTTTCTAATACTTCAGGCGTTGAGGCCAGGGGCCTATGCACTTATCCATTATTAAGGCTTTCTTTTTGAAGCTACTAGATGCTTTGTGCATATAGAAGAGGTTTAAGTGTCTCGGGCTCAGAACCGATTGTGTCACACTTGCCTTACGGCGTCTGCAACTTTAACTGCAACTCTACGTGTATCAATATGGTGGTTTCGGGAAGTCCGAACCGCACAAATCAAACAATAAAGAACGCTATGCCACCACCATAAAACTAGCCACACAATTTACTGTCTTGCTATTCAAGGATGGCTACAAAAGGCATTTCAAAGCTTTGGGGCTGCTCCCCTGGTGTCACTCGCTTTTTTGAGATCATCTGAAACCTTCTGAGACCCGCTTTTAAAAAGTTAAATTTTATAAATGTATTCGGAAATACTTGTACAACGAATTGTTAGTCTCAATGTTTTAGGAAAGTCTTCACCTCAAATACGCGCTCTCAAAGTCTCTGGATAGGTACAACTTCAGAGGTGATACAGTTCTTTTTATGGAAACGTGTCTTAAGCGTGTCTTTTTACGGTGTAATGAACTTCTTGCATCAACACTTCTGAAGGATTTGGCGTAGTATTTGTGCTATCTAAAGAACAATGACAAGATGCCTGTCTAAAATGCATGTAAGTGGTACTTTGCTCCTCCGCAGAGGACAAAAAATTTAAAAAACGCGCTAAGATTTGGCAGATTAGCTTACCCTGTGTGGGCGAATGTTGACAGCATCTTCATTACCTCTTCGCTGTATTGTTCGTCTTGCTGTGAAAAGCCAACGCGGTTGATGACGGGGTGGCCAAAAAAGTAAGGCAGCTCCATGCTGTGACCAACACCTATCCAGGAAGGAGTTCCCTTGGGTGGAGGGTACGCGAAGACGTAGAAGTACACAGTACCATTACTGGCGGAGTGGTGCTCGCCAAGAAAGTGCGCTGGGCACACGAATAACCTGTCCGAGACATAAGCTACGTACTGCTTTCTGAGTGACTCTTTGTCCTTGGCTTGTCTCACATAAAGGTCGAGCATTTCGAGCTGTTCGCCTTTTGTCCAGGCGCGAACCACATCGTGCAGCGAAGCTCGGAGCGCTGACTCAGCTACATCCGTCAGCCGTTCTGACTGCATGTGAGCTTTCATTCTAAGCACGAACGGCGTCGAGCCCTCATTTTCGGTGACACCAAGGAGAAGATCGACGTTGGCTACGAATCCTTTCGCAGTGGCTGCCACTGGTACTCTGGGGAGGTAGTCTGTGTGGTAGGTCGGCAGGAAAGGAAACACCTTGGGAGCTACAGCCCTGGCCGCTGCGCGAACCAGGTCTCCCGACGGCTTTGTGCGGAGGCAGGCGAGTACCTCGCGAGGCCCTCTAGACAGTGTCGCCTGGGCACAGCCCACGAGTGCGGCCACCGCGTCTGCCTTCGCCGCGCTCTCCTCGACAGATTCGAAGAAGTCCCGGGCTGCCATGTTGCCACTCATCATGACCGCCCTGTGGAAGAGATTCCCGCCAAAAGGGGACAGCATGTGGCTGTGGATGCTCATGCCACCAGCACTGTGGCCGAACACTGTGATCGCGGCTGGGTCACCACCAAACACGCGGGCGTTTTGACGCAGCCACAGAAGCGCAACCCGCTGGTCCATTAGCCCCACATTTCCGGGTGCGTCTGGTGTGTCGGCATTCAGAAATCCCAGGATTCCAAGCCGGTAATTGATCGAGGCGACGACACAACCCGTTTTGGCAGCCAGAACAGCTGCTGAGTAGTTATCGTAGGAAGCCGATCCACTCGTGAAGCCACCGCCGTGGATCCAGACGAGAACTGGTGCCATTTCATGCTCCCAGCGGGCAACGGTGGTCCACACGTTCAAGTAAAGGCAGTCCTCGCTGACCCTGAGCACGCCGTTAGACCATGGGCGTAGCACCTGCACAACACGTATAGAGTAGCTGGGCACGGTAGTGACGCTGCAACGTCTGGCAGTTCATTTTTTTCTGTAGTGTTTGAATATGCCAGTTCTAATAAGGCATTATTATTCTTCTCAGCGCGAAAATTTTAGACAACGAACACAAGAGACCAGGACGAGTGCAGTCTCTTGTGCCCCTTGTCTGAAATATTCGCGCTGAGAAGTTTGTTAATGGATTACCAACTAGCACAATCCCACACTTTGCTTCAAATAAGGAAACAAACGACAACAATAAATTAGAGTGACACCGTGCCTGCTGTGGGTGCCCTTTCAATTTGTATGTGCCCCTCAATTCTTACTACCCACCATGGAGCGTAACTCTCTTTGAGAATCAGCTACTTCAAACCGGGAAGCGATAGAGCTATCGGTTTTCCCCGCAAGCATCTATCGTTTTACAATTCCAAGCTACTTGAGGAAAAAAATTACAACATTTCTCACTAAGGAGATCCACGCGTAGAAACGAAGCAGCGGGCGCAAACGCTTACACTGGCGGCAAAATTCACGTTGCCACTCATCGCAGCATTGGGCGGGAAGGAAACCTGTGGATGCGCAAAGCACACAGCGATGGACCGGTGTTTACTACTGTAATATTCCAATTGTTGGAAATAGGCAATGGAAGACAGACGACTCCGGTCGGGCACAGAGATCCGCTGTATGCTTATAGTTAACACGCTCAGGCAGCGAATTTCCATTGTTCAACAATGCTCAGGAAAAATATTTCACCAGCACCACGTTGGATATCAAGATCCAGTGCCTATATATACGCGGTGGCCGGTAAATGGTTGTGTCGCTCAAGCTTTCGGTGTTTTCAATCAATGTTTATGGGGTTGCAGAGCACGTACGACAGTGCTGGAAGAAAAGCGTATGGATGGCGAGGAACGTAAGCCACAGAGGGTCAACATGAGCGCTGACTACCAACTAAATTGATATCTTTTGCAGCACACTATACATGCACAGGTGAAATATTTCAACAAGCAAACGTGATGAATGTGACATAGTTCACGGGAAGTGCCCGGTGTCCTGTCAAAAGGAAGGGAAAATGATAAAAAACTTAAAAGCACAGTCTCTTCTTCATGCAAAGACACTGAAGGCTGGCTGACGCATTCGTCACCAAATTTCCTGATATGATGCACCTCAGTGATTGCGTGTGTTAATTTGTCCATAGGGCGTTCTAGCACACTCATGGCCAGAAATCGAGGCTGGCACCCGAAACTTTGGCAGTGCATTGAAACGTTGGAACTTATCCTCTTGCATGAATCATTCGTATGCTTTCCAAACCTTTTATTTGTGCAACGTCCAGTTTAACCTATATAATTACAGCCAGTTTAGAAGAAGCATCTGTACAACACCCACGGCGCATTATATAAAATAATATACGTGTCTTACGGCACATGTCCAACTCTTCATTGTAATTCCACTAAGGCATTCATCTGTGAACCTGCAAATCTGGCCTACTTTGTATGCGGCTGATGATACCACATCTCCACCATATCACGAGGCAAAAAGATTTTACCTGTTTGTATATATTGTTGAGGAGAGAATTAAGAGCGCCTGTATGCCAGGCCAGCCATTCTTATTCTAACTTCTCCTCCGTTACCCGCTAGCAGAAGTCGCGTCAGTGCCTGAGCGCCGCTCTTGCTTCCTTACACTGGGACATGCTGTGACAATGAAAGGCCAGTTGCGAAATTACTTTTGGAGGGTGGCATTCACTTTTGCGCGCCGTTCTGTGTAGGCCACGCAGTGAGTTGGTCTGATGATGTGACAACGAAGTCTCTGGTAACTGATGCTAGCTGTACCTGAGTGATCTCTCTCCAGCATTCAGGTGTAGCACTCAGAAATCTCAGGTGGCTGTGGCGTAGTGGCTGTGGCATAGTGGCTGCTGGTCTCGGCCACGCTGGCATCTAGCATGTGCAACTGCCGATGGTGACTCAGGAGGGCACGTCAATAGTTGAGTGCACCTCCGCAGCTTTGAAGAAGTGCATGAGCAAGCCATTTTGTATGGCGCTGCCGAAGCAGGGGCGTCCATTGTTCCATGGCTGTGAAGTAGGGACACGTGTAAGAGGTCCAATAGTTACGGTCTTGTCTTCAAGAGGGCAGTAGAATGCGTGAGCATGTCAGGTACGAACGGATATAGCCTTTCTATATGCTCAAACATTCGTGACCTTGGAAACGGCCCCGCCAACTGCTGCGACGTGTAGGTCTTGTGTGTTGTATGAAATGGCAACATAGCTTCTCCCGTCTGGCGTGGAGAACACAACTCGTGACTGGTCGTGTTTGCCGCGGGACATTCTCAGAATACTTCATGAGTCTGGTGGCTGCGGGTATATTCCGTGCTGAGGTGATGCCGCTCCTGTACTTCACCAGAGAACAGAGAAAGGGATGGCTTCTTCTCTTCCGGCAGTACAGAAGCCGATGACGCCATGTGCCCGTGTGGTGTCGAGCTTGGAGAGAGCTTTGCCAAGTGCTGAGGCTCGAGGGTGGCCCTCTTGTCTGCCGTTAGGCTGGAAGAGAGCAATGAACCATCGAGCTCGCATCTGACGTGAACTCGATACCTGGGAGTGAGCGCGTTAGTAGAGAGCACAGCTGTGCCGCGCCCTTCGTCATATCTTTCACCGAGAAGAGGCAGGGGGTGGACAGCTGAGGTGCCACATCGGTATGGTGCGCCTGTCCTCTAGCACCTGCGGGGCAACTTGAGTCGGCAGTGAGGGCAGCACTACCCTGCGAAAGTGGCTGGAAAGCAGTAGTCAGTCTGTCACACCATTGAAGCCACGACTGTTGCTGCAAGCCTTCGTAGTTGCGCCAGGCTTTAGCGGCATCGCGAAGGCGGTCGATGGCTACCAGCCATTTCCGGCGCTCCAGCCAGGCATACGGGTGCCGAGAGCATTCACCGTTTCGACCCACAGAGCGGCATCGTCTTTGAACCCTCGGAACTCCGGTAGTTCCAATGCAACTGTAGCTGGTAGTGTCGAGTACAGCGACCCAGTATAAGGCACAGCGAAACAATCCACCTCCCATGTGCAAGCAAAGACATTGCCTGCATGACGTTTGTAGGAAGAGTGTGCGTAGAGCCCGAGGAGCCACGAGCAATGACCGTGGAGATTAAGAGGGCCCAGAGCACCCGGTGGTGGTTCAGACTGTAGTTTGAAGGTGCCAGTTGCTGAGACAAGCGTGCGACCTTACGGATGATCCTCACAGCATCTTCAGAAAAGCCACCCGGGGAACCATTTTCGGCGGCTGAGGAATATTCTCTTGTCATAGCAATGAGCGCGGCAATGTGTTGAATCATAGAAGCGTGGTGAACGCGATGATTGGAAGGGTTGGTATAACATCATCAAGCCGCCGTAGAGGCCATAACGCTGTCCCCGGACCATGATTGTAGCGCCGGCAAATCAGCGGATACTGAGGAGGCCTGTAGCCATCCCTGGACTTGGCTCCTTGCGGGCAGAATTCTTCCGGACGCCATGCCTTAGGAAGCGTTCCAGGTGTGGCGGGTCCGTAACGTCACAGACACTGAAGCACAGGGGGCTTCTGCCATGATGTTCTGTTGTCGTACTGTGCCATTCCCGACGAGAAAAAAGAGGCAACGCCAGTATGCCATGCCAGCTCTTGTTATTCTGACTTCTTTCTCCTTCGCTACCAGCTAGTAGACCACGCGCCAGTGTCTGCGTGCCGCTCTTGCTTCCGTCTAACATTAACATATGTGTAGCAAACAATAAGCTCAGCTGGTAGTCGGCGCTCGTGTTGTCCCTCTTTGCTTTCTATTCCTCGCCTACCGTACGCTTTATTTCCAGCATTTTCGTGCTTGCACTGCAACCCCTATTACCACGGTATTTAATAAACTAGCTCAAATAACCGTTCTTTTTCAATCAAGAAACTCGCCAGCAGATGCCACCTGCATCGGCATGGCGCGGTGAGAGATGGGGAGAGTGTAGGAGAGGACGGGGGTTGCGAATGCGCAATGGGTGTGTAAACGCTGGGGTTAGGGATGTCGAGACAAGAAAGAGCGAGCAAATGTTAGCTATAGCAGACGCTGCTTGCTTTGGTGTTCCGAGACAAGAGAGGGGACCACGTAGGAGAGGAGAAAGAGAAGGGGAGCACGAATGCGCAGTAAAGGCGGTCACGCCGCGCACGGGATAGAGCTGGACCATAGAGCTGAACCATTTGCCTCGCATGTAAAATCTTTCCACTCGCCGTACAGTGCCGTCCACTGTTGGGGTGAACGCAAGAGTGCGTGGCCGCGCTCCGCGAAGCGCCACTGCCGCCACCGCGGCCACGCATTGAACAAAAGCCTGCGCAGGCGCGGCAGTGCTTGCAGTCATGGCTTTGCATCGTCTGCTACAACGCTCGTGCTCTTGGCCGCGCCGAGCTTGCACTGCCGCCAAACAAACTTTGGTTACAATGTCACGTATTTTCTGCAGCCTATGCAACTTTTGGTTTCGCATTTTAAAGACGTGCCAGACGCCAACCGTCGTCATCGACAACAATACAATTTTCCCGTCGCGTGCACGCACACATGTCGCTTTTGGAGCTGGTGAAGTTAAAAAACACTTACGGAGTTTTCTGATAACTTCAAGCTATACGACACTGTAGATCAAAATCAAAACTTGACTCTCATGCTTCTCTTGTGGCAACTGGAGGAAGACTGTTAAGTTGCACCCAAAATATTGATGATGCCAAATATCATTATCTGCAAAATGAAAAATCGGAAACAAATGGGCTCACATTACGCCCTTTTGTATCGTTTTATTATCAAAGTGACGGCTTCCATTGCATTTATGGGCCCCAGTAAGCGTACTTAAAGTCTCGTTTCTGCAAGGATGTTGCCTATAGAAATTCGTAGGATGGCTCTTGTTGCAATAATGGCTGGTGTTTTACGCCCCTGAATGCCCCCTAACAATGTGAATATGAGGGACGTCACCATGGAGAGCCCGGAAATTTTCATCATCGGGCACCTGAAACCA